AACACACAAAAATCAATCATTCAGACCATTTCTTACATTCTTTGTTGTGCCAAACAATCTACGTATGGCTTGTTGTTATCATTTTAGCAAGAATCCAATACAATCCAGTAACTAAAACAATTTTTCAGTGTGTATAATGTGTCTAGTATGACCATACATCCATTTTTTCCTGGTCGGTATTTCTAAATTGCCTAAAATGTCTGGGTTTTGCTTTGTTTTCCTATTGTATTCATACTTACTGAAAGTAATGACTGAAAAGTAGTTTGACCAATAGCGAGCAGGCGTTGTACATAATCGTCCAATTGGGACTCTAGGACTGTAGTGAGCATGTCAATAGGAAAACAATGCCAAAATCTGGACATTTTAGGCAATTAAGAAATCCTGGCTGGGAAAAAGAGGACATATGGTCACTCTAATGTTTCTCTACATGTGTGTGTGTGTGTGTGTGTGTGTGTTTTCTAGAGGAGGGATGGTCGCAGTGTAAAGAAAGACCTCATTGCTCAGAGAAAGACTATTTTCAAATCCACACGGCCTGTGATAGTGATGGCAAGGTAGGGAAAGTATAATGCAGAATGTGTTTTGTTGTAAATTATGTGTGGCTAATTTGTTCATTTTTATATTGCTGTATTATTTTAGACCCAGATGCTGTACAGGTGGGTGGAACCTCAGGTGTGTGTGGAGAATGTGACTGGTGCTGTGACGCTGCCCCCTTCTGGAGAGAAAGAGGACTGTCCACCCTGCAATCCAGGCTTTTACATGCACAACTCTTCCACCTGTTTACCCTGCCCTCAAGGCACCTACTCTGATGGCACCACAGGTATATAGAAACACATTAACATAGATACATATTCATGTATTATGCAACACTGTTGGTTTACTGGTACTGGTGTTTAACAGAGAAGATTTCTTTTGGCACAGAATGTCAAAGATGCCCGGGAGGAACTGAACCTTCTTTGGGATATGAATACAAGTGGTGGAACATCCTGCCGAGGAATATGAAAACGTCTTGTTTTAATGTGGGCAACTCCAAATGTGATGAAATTAATGGTAAGAGTAATAGAAATGGAAAAACTTAACTTAAAAAAATACATTTAGAAATGTTTCAACTAATTCAAATACTTTAAGTTGAAGTCCTAAGATTACTAAAACTATTAAAGCTAAATAGAAATAAACATCTTTATTATAAAAATCTATCTTTGTAATAAAAATTACAAGAGCACATATTTAGGAGCACAAAATTACTAAAACTTTAAAACTAAAATGAAAACTGAAAATATACCAATAAAAGCTAATACACACACACACACACACACACACACACATATATATATATATATATATACCTACTAAAACTAAAATTTGAAGCTAAATAGAAATAATAATAAAAAATGTAATTATTTTTTACAAGAGCACATAACAAAATTACTAAAACTTCAACTAAAATTAAATAATAATAATCCCTTTTATATATATA